GAGAAGGAGGGTGATGGACGAAAGGGCAGGAGAACGGAGAGGAGCCGGGCGGGGGGAGGCGTAGGCGGCGGGAGAGAGCGGGATGGAGAATGGAAAAGAGGAGAGGGAGGTGCAGGACAGGGGAAAAAGGGGGAGATGGGAAGGAATGGGGAGTGCGATAAGAGAAGCTGGGGAGAGGGAGATAAAGACGAGAGGGATGCAGAGAGCAGGTGTGTGAGGGTAGAGTGGCGTGGCAGGAGGGGAGCCTCGGATTCCCTCGGCGGAGGGGAGAGTCGTGGCAGCGCAAAGTGCCCTGTGAATGCCCACAGCGGGGGCTCCGTGTTCCGAGGAGGATCCTGCAAGCAGGACTGGAGCTGCTCAGGGCTGCAGAGACACGGCAAAGCCTTCTGGCTGGCAGGATGCTCAGAAACCGGCGTGGATGCTGAGCACAGAAGCCCTTCTCCCTCCCGTTCTGCCCTTAGGAGCACCTCTAGATGGATGGAGCTGAGGGCAGATGCGCAAAAAGAGGGGCTCACTCTCACAACTCTGTCTCCCGGCTCCATGCACAATCTCATGTCTTTTGCACCTGTTTTGGGAAAAAGCTCCAGTTCAATAGCCCCAAACTCTCCAACCAGGTTTTACCTTTGCTGCGAGGAGTGGACCCAGGAGAAATGGGGCAGGGCAAGAAATTAAGCTCTTTTGTGTGAGCAGTTCTCCCAGAGAGGAAATTAGGACTTCCCCATCCCATTCTCTGCACAAAGTGCTTCCCTGTAGTCCTCACCCCCTTCCCTGCCCTGCAGCCAATATCAGTGACTCCTTGTGCTGTGCAGTCACCCAGATCATGAACATTTGAGCTCCCAAGGCCAATTCCAGCCTTAACAGAAGTAGGGAATATCTCTGCGAGCAGACCCTAACTCCAGGGTGTAAAACCTGGCCTTCCAAGCCTGCTTGAGCCATTTTATGTCCAGCCAGTGCGGCTCCAAGGTAATCAGGTGAAGGCAGTACAGGGCTTCAAAGGCGTCAGGATGCCTTAGCCTAGATCTCTGCCAAAATGCTATCTGGAGACACACAGGAGAGATCAGGCCTCACTGGGGAAGGAATGGCATGGGCAGCACCCAGTGGCTATCTTTGCAATGGCAGGGCAGGTTTCTGCAGCACCATACGGGGAGCCCATGAGCTGGTGTCTTAGAAGAAATGAAGCCATGCAACAGCAGAGCTCTGCCCAGCCCAGCTACTCCTGGCAGGACTTGCTATCATAATCATGGTCATAGGATCACAACTTCCAGGTCTCCAGCTCACTTCCTCAGTGCTCAGAGTCCTGCCCTGTTCTCTGCCTCAACTCTAACGGGGTTGTGCAAAATGCTTTGAACTGTGTTGGAAGGAGAGCCCATCCTATGCACCTCTACAGGCAGGCAAATACATGAATTTTGCTTCATGCAAATGGTGAGCCTCTCCTCTCTGCACTGCTGTATGTGATCAGGGACAGGGCAGACTGAAAAGGTAAAAGCCAAGGCTTGAAAACTGGAGAGGAAGTAATAATCCACTGGGAATTCATTGGTTTGAGTAATGTTTAGGATGTTTAAGGGAGGCTAGATCCCAGTCTTGAGGGCTTTGTGTCCCCTGCCCTTCCACAGGTACATGCCCACACCAGAGACTTTATTTCTGCTCTTCTGGACTTACGTTGATGCAATTTACATTACGTTTGGACGAGGCTTGGGCAATTAATGTGTCAGACCATGTGCAATGCAGACATTTGTGAAACTTGCTGCCACAGGATGTCCTCTGAGGTTGCTCTGGACATTATCAGTGGATAATATGTCACACCACTGAAATACTGCCTTAGTCAGATCTGATCATGAATTGAATTTGCAGAAATTTCCCTGGCAGCAGGGTACCTCAGGGGCTTCACTGTGGTGGATTATTGCTGACCACTACCCATGCACCTCCTCAGTGCAGGAAGCAGCCTTTGAAACTCAGAAGTGGTGCTGCATTGGGGAGCGGTAAACTGCCTCACCTCCAGAGTTTGTCAGTGCCCTCCAAGGACTGCAGGATTTTGCAGTGCCAGTCATCTCACCCTGAGCACCCCTCCCTCCCTCCTGCAAGCAGTGGCAGTAGCAGCCACCCTGTAGCACTTCTTACTCTCAAGTCTCTGCAATGCATCAGGAAGGCAGGTGCTCACAGCCACCAGATCCATAGTACCACTGGGACCACTCTCTTCGGCTTAATTTTAGTGACTTGGAAGCAATTTGTCTGGACTTGGTGACTCATTCTTCGCTCTTTCTTTTTTTTTCTTCCCTGCCCTCCCCCTTCCTGTTCTCACTCTGCCTGCTCCTGGCAGCGTGAGTGCTGGTACTGATATGACTGCCTGTGACGCAAACTTAGGAGCATTAATGCAGAAATGTTGTGGTGAAAGGGTCTCCCCAGCAACCTGCAAGGGCAGTTCCCACTGGGGAGGGGTCTGGGCCTGGGTGTCCCCTCCCAAAGCCTGCATCTTGGCCTCTGTGCGTCTTGGAAGGGAGACAAACTTTTCCTCTGAACACATGAGAAGAGGAAGGGCAAAAGCCAAGGCGTAACCACCCCGCTGCCTTTGGCTGGCACAAAACAGCTGCACTTTCCTGAGGAATGCAGGTGGCTCAGATGAGAACTTAGAACTCAGTGCATGAATTGGGCCTCATATCTTCATCCTATAGTGATACTAATAGCTCAGCCTGGTGCTGCCCGGGTTGTCACTGCCGAAAGAGAGGCACATCTGGCACCACCCCAGCCTTCCTGTTGCTCACTGCTTCAGGGCTGTGTCCCGCCCAAGGTGCAACACACCATGGACACACCAAGAATGAACAGTCTGTTTATTGCGTCTTATTCACTATGTTGTAACCTTGGGAGCCGGTGAGGAAGGGAAGAGGCAGCTGCGTTGAGGTGAGTGTGGGGAAGTTGTGCAAATGGACAAACCAGTGCTACAGACCCACAACAGTCTTTCAAGCCAGAAGAAGTAAAAAGCGCAGTGACCGCCACAGGGTACTGAACTCCGGGAGGATGCTGGAGATATCGCTCATTCTCCTGCGTGCTGTGCAGAGCCTGGCATCAGGACGGGGCCAGGATCTGTAGCCAAAAACATGACAGACCTTGTGAAACCAGCTCCATTACCTTCGTGCTCTCCCTGCCATTGCCCTGGTGGTGGTGGGAAAGGGAAGAGGCATGATTCTAGCTAGAAAGCTCTCACTCTTCTCTCTCCACAGACTCTGGCCAGCTTTGCCTTTTGTCCTAAAGCCTCTCTCCTCCCTCTGCTGCCTTGAGTCAAAAGGGAGGGGCAGGTGGGGAAAATATGGGGAGTAAAGGAGTCCTGGAGGAGAAGCTGCTGCCTGGCAATGAACAGCAGCACAAAACTCCCCTTGAAGAGAGCAGGGCCTGATAAGAGGAAGGGCCATTGGGCAACTGCCATGAATAAGGAACAGCTTTTTTTTTTTTCCCCTATAGGCAGAGGCTCGGCTTCACAGCAGGTCATCCTCAGGGCAGTTCCCTGGATACAGTTCCCTCTGTGGTAGAAGGTGACAGGCAGTTCTCTTCTGTGAGGGCAGAAGTGGAAAATCCTGGGCTGCCCATAGAAAAGCAGCAAGGAAGGGGAAGTGGTTCAGGGCTCCATGTCATACCTTGCCTCGTCCTGTCCCCAAGCAGGACTGCTGTCCCCTTCTCTTTCTCTCTCTGTGAGGGTGACCCATCCCCCCAGACACAGCAGGTCATAGGAACCTCATGGCCCTGACCTTCTGGGTTCAGGAGCAGGAAAGTGCCACTGGTGTCACTCCCAGGGACCCCTTTCAGACTTACTTGCTTAGAGGAGGCTGCACGCACGTTTCTTTGTCCGGGTGGGCTGCGGACAGAGGACTGCTCGGATGGCCTCGTCAAACACCGTCTTGAGGCCGCGCTGCGTCAAAGCCGAGCATTCAAGGTATTTCACAGAGTCTGTTGGGAGGAAAGCAGGTGTTGTAATGGGGAGTAAGGGAAGTGGAGTAGGCAGTGGGAGTAGCCAGAAGTCTGCTGCCAAGGATGCTCAGAAGACAAACATGCAGGAGAAATACCACAGATCGCATCAGGCAGAAAGAGATGTGCCTGTATCATCAACATATTTCTGGCTCTTACCACTTCACAGCCATGACACCATCCTCTCTCAGTGCCCATTTTACAGTGTCCTGAGGCACATACACACCACCTAAATACATCCTGAGTCTCACCTACAAAGTAGTGACTACATCAGTGGACAAAGGAAGAGCAATGGATGCCATCTTATCTGGACTTCTGCGAAGTCTTTGACATGGTTCCCCACAACATCCTTCTCTCCAAGTTGGAGAGATACAGATTTGATGGGTGGACTGTTTGGTGGATAGGAATTGGTTGGATGGCCACACCCAGATGGAGACAGGTGACAAGTGGTGTCCCTCAGGGGTCCGTACTGAAACAAGTGATGTTTGATATCTTCATCAATGGTATAGACAGTGAGATCAAGAGCACCCTCACAAATTTGCAGATGACATCAAGCTGAGTGGTGATGTTGATATGCCAGGGGGGTGAGATGTCCTCCAGAAGGACCTGTACAAGCTAGAGAAGTGGGCCTGTGTGAACTTCATGAGTTTCAAGAAGGCCAAGTGCAAGGTCTTGCACCTGGGTCAGGGCAATCCTCATTATCAGTACAGGCTGGGGAATAACGTGATAGAGAGCAGCCCTGTGGAAAAGGGCTTGGGGGTACTGCAGCCCAAAAAGCGAACCATGTCCTGGGCTGCATCAAAAGGAGTGTGACCAGCAGGTTGAGGGAGGTGATTCTCCCTCTCTGCTCTGCTCTGGTGAGGCCCCACCTGGAGTACTGCATCCAGTTCTGGAGCCCACAGTACAAGAAGGACGTGGATCTGCTGGAGAGGGTCCAGAGGAGGGCCACAAAGATGATTAGAGGGCTGGAGAACGTCTGCTATGAGGACAGGCTGAGGAAGCTGATGTTATTCAGCTTCAGAGGTGACCTAATAGCAGCCTTCCAATACATGAAAGGGGCCTACAGGAAAGCTGGAGAAAGGCTTTTTACAGGGGCCTTTAGTGATAGGACAAGGGGCAATGTCCTGAAACTGCAAGAGGGTAAATTTAGATTACATATAAGGAAAAAATTCTTCACCATGAAAGTGGTGAAGCACTGGAGCAGGTTTCTCAAGCAGGTTGTGGATGCCCCATCCCTGGAAGTGTTCAAGGCCAGATTGGATGGGGCTCTGAGCAACCTGGTCTAGAGGGAGAAAGGTGTCCCTGCCCACAGCAGGGGGGTTGGAACTAGATGATCTTCAAAGTCCCCTCCAACCTTAACCATTCTATGATTCTATGATACTGGTGGGTGAAAAGCTGGACACAAGCCAAAAATGCACACTTGCAACCCAAAAAGACCAGTCGCATCCTGGGCTGCATCAAGAGGAGCATGGCCAGCAGATCGAGAGAGGTGATTCTGTCCCTCTACTCTGCTCTGGTGAGACCCCACCTGCAGTGCTGTTTCCAGCTCTGGAGCCCCCAACACAAGAAGGACATGGACCTGTTGGAGAGGGTCCAGAGGAGGCCACAGAAATGATCAAAGGACTGGAACACTTCTCCTGCGAGGACAGGCTGAGACAGTTGGGGTTGTTCAGCCTGGAGAAGAGAAGGCTCTGGGGAACCTTCCAGCACCTGAGGGAGACAAGAAAGCTGAGGAAGAACTGTTCGCAAGGGTGTGCAGCAGCAGGAAAAGGAGCAATGGTTTTAAACTAGAGCAGGGTAGATTTAGATTAGATAATAGGAAGAAATTCTTGAAACACTGAAACAAGTTGCCCAGAGAGGTTATGGAGGTCCCATACCTGGAGACATTAGAGGTCAAGCTTGATGGGGCTCTGAGAAAACTTATCTAGTTAAAGATGTCCCTGCTCACTGCAGTGGGGTTGGCCTTGTTGACCTTTAAAGGTCAACACCCAATGCATTCTAAGATTCTATGATCTTGAGATGAGGTCTCACATCTCCTCAGGCTTCAAGAGTCATTCAGACTGCCTGGCCTCAAGCACCTCTAGTGGCATCTCAAATCACATGGTACCTCTCTTTGAGACTTTATATCATCTCCAAATTCTCAGAGACCTTGTGCTGGAAAGCGAGGCACCCACTTCTTGCCTGAACTGAATAAACACAGCTCAGATGATCAAAGCCATTAAACATTGTCAGGACACACTTCACTCACTCAGGCAGTCTTGACTTCAGGGCAAAGCTTGCCAGCTGTACAAGACCAGGGTTTGACTATTCTCCACCCTTGTAGCCAGAGCAGAGCCATCACATGAGGCTGTCTATGTTATCCTGGATGGATACCCTCAACTCTGAACCCCTGGTTGAAAACTTCTCCCTCAGGCTGTGCTACCCACCCTCTTTGCTGCTTTTATGTGCCTGGAACAGGCATTTGTGCATGTCCCAAAATACATGAGGGAGCTGATGACCCTGAGATGAATGGTGCGGTGAAACACACATGCCCAGGTTTGCATATGTAAGCCCCAGTAGTCAGAGGCAGGGATGGGAAGCTACAGTTGCAACTCTTCCTGAGAGAGGTTAGAAAACACAGTCTTCTGACTCTTTCCGGATGTGGAGGAGAGGCCTCTGCCCACACAGCAGCTGTGGCTTTCACAGAAAAATATTGGCCCAGATAGAAATAGCAGAGTAAAAAGGGAGGGGAATGTGTAAGTGTGTATTTGTGTGTGTGCCTGTGGAGGATGGTGGCCTGAGAGAGGCAGAGAACAGAGGGTTGAGGGGCTGAGGCTTCATCAAGGAGCATATCTCCTTCCTGAGTCTCCTGAAGTACACTTTGTCCCATGACCATTGATGTGTCTCCCTGTGTCCCTCAAGCTCTACAAAAGCCTCATTAGGTTGAGGGGAAGCCTTTATCTTCTGCCTATATCCTTTCAGTAGGTCCAAGACGTTGCCCCAAGCACATACCAATTTCCTTGGCCAGAGCAAGGCCCTGAGGATATGTAATAGGGGATAGCTTCTTCTCCTTCAGCTTCTCAATGGTGTCCTTATCATCACGAAGATCCAGCTTTGTGCCCACAAGAATGATGGGAGTGCTAGGGCAATGGTGCCGCACCTCAGGAAACCACTAACAAGAGAGCAAAATGGCAAAGATGTGAGAAAAAGTCACACATACAAACATGCACAAGGGAAACAAAAAGGCATCCCTGGAAAAATGTCAGCAAGCTAGCTAACACATAGCCCTTCCATTCAGTGTTGGGTGCTACAGCCTGGCCTAGGCCAGTCCTTTGTGCTGGGTCCTCAGGCAAAATCCTTGACACAGAGCTCAAATTCTGTCAAGAAAAAGTACAAGCTGCTCTCCACCCTTCATGGCTCCCTGAAACCCAGGGAGGAACCTGAAAGTGGTAGGAAGGAAATACTATGCTGTTCTCCTCTCCATCAATCTCTCTCTTCTTCTCTCACTTCCCACCCAAAAAATTCTCATACCCTGTGGACTGGTCTTACATGTCTGTGATGCAACAGTCTTGGCTGAAAGATTCCATCAGAATATAAGTCTGTGATCTCACAGATCAATAGCCCATGAGAATAAATATTTTCCCTTTGATAGGGTTGACCAACTTCTTTGAGATGATGCAGAAAAGACGTCTGAAGGAGGCTGATATTTTAGTTCCTTCTGGCTAACACGAAAGAAGAAATGACCTCTCTGAATCTAGAGATCCTACTAGCAGTCTCCACCCACAGTCATTTTCTTTGCAAGACCACCACCAATCTTACCCTCCTCAGCCCCTGGTAGACCAGGATACTCTGTCTCACCTTAGCACGGACGTTTTCATAAGATGCTGGGCTGACAAGGGAGAAGCAGATCAGGAAGACATCCTGTAGGCATACAACCACGATGCAGAGTTAGGATGAGAGTGTGGGATTGCAGGACAGTAGGCAGGGAGGGAAGAGAAGAGCTGGGTGGGCATCATCCTCCCTCTGCAGCTGAGGGTCATGCAAGGGAAAGCTCTGTCTCACAATCTAGCACAGTCCTGCCTGCTGCTAATGGCCTTTAGAGGAGAGAAGGATATTTGCTCTCCTGACTCATGGTAACCATAGCCACCATTATCAGAAGAGCTAAACCGTGAGGATGCGGTTTTTGCGGTAAGCACATTCATCCTCATGGGAAATGGCTTGGCAGTGTCCTGCTCATTTCTCATAGGACACCAGAGAGCTTTCAGGCCAGAATAATTTTGCCTGCTGCTTGAGATACAGATAGGCTCAGCCCAAAAACTGCACATGCAGAATGCAAATGAGGTGGAGTTTTGGTTATCCCCATAAGCGTTTCTCCAGGGCATAGGAATTTAGAACTTCCATTTAATTTAGACTTCCATTAAAAACAAATAGAAACAGCTCTTCACAGTTATATTTATTTTATCCAGCTTCACCTAGCTAAAACATGGGTGTCAGGCCCAGCCCATTTAGCTCCATACCATCAGAGGAAGAAGCCTTGAAGGACAGTTCTGTCACCTATCCTTGGGATGTGTCCCAGGGTGGGTGCAAGCATGTTGTTGAGAAATATGCTTGCCTGCTCTGACTGCAGAAGGAGCCTAGGTAAATGGCTTGTTGGACTTTTAGGTGGCTGAACCTAGCTGAAATAAATACTGCCTTCAATTCCTAGCCCTTTCAGTTGCAATGGCAACATTCAGACCAATTCCTGAGGCAGCAGAGTCTTTCTGATCTTGCCAAGAGACTGCTTGGAACAACATCCTCCAGGGAAGGTGATCTTAAACCCCTGAAATCACTCTGTCATTGTGGTGAAAAAAAGGGTGAGCATAGTATCTGAAGCATCCATTTGTTCTGCTAGAGGCTTGGGCTTAGTTGAGGCATCAGCAGATTAATTGCATGCACCCACATATCAGATCCCTTTTAAAAAGCAGAAGTCAGAATAGTGGGGTTCAGAGAAATATGTAAAGCTCCTCCCTCAACTCCTAAATTCCCTGAACCACTTTATCGTCACAAAAGGAGGGCTATTTGCCAGGACTGTGTAAGGCATCTGCCGCATGCTAAGATCAGTGTCAGAGGGGCTCGTAAGTATCTCTGAAGAAAATCTTCTTCAGTTTTCTTGCTAAGTTATACCAGTAATGAAGTTTAGATAAAAGCTGCAAAATACCCTTAGATGTCTTTTACCTTTAGGGTTTCAATGCACCTGTATATCAACAGAGGTATTCTTAGAAAAGTACAGAGAGAGAGATAGGAACAGTCCTGTCACTCTTTTGTGGCAAATGTTTTTGCTGCAGGGGACGTAGGTACATCTGAGGGAGGAAAAAGGGAGGAACAAGGGAGGAGGGGCATGGAGAGTGGCCCACCGTCTGCGGGTAAGAGAGTGGCCTCAGCCTGTCATAATCCTCTTGTCCAGCAGTATCCCAGAGCCCCAGATTTACAGGCTTGCTGTCAACCATCACGTTGGCAGAATAGTTATCGAACCTGAAATTCAGAGACATAGGCGGTGGGTCAAAGAAGAGAAGAGAAAGCCCTTCCAGTAGTGTAGGTGGGTCCTAAGTGCACCCAGGAGCAAAGAACAGTGATTCCTTTTCTCAGCTGACCTGGATGATGCTGATTTCCAGTGAACCTCTAGTTCATGGATTTCCCACTCAGCATCAACCTCCTCCGTATCACCCAGCTGGTCCAGACGTGTCTGGCGGAAGTCCCACCTTTTGCCAGCTTGCATGCAGATCCACAGACCCTTCAGTTTCCCACTTCTTTCCCCAGCACCCTTTCCACAACTGTGTCTGCTCTAGCCAAGCCTCTATAGAATCATAGAATCATAGAACAATTCAGGTTGGAAAAGACCCTTGGGATCATCAAGTCCAACCATTAAGCCTACACTACAAGGTCACCCCTAAACCATATCACCCAACACCACATCTAAACGACACTTGAACACATCGAGGGATGGCGACTCAACCACCTCCCTAGGCAGTCTGTTCCAGTGTCTGACCACTCTTTCTGTGAAGAATTTCTTCCTAATGTCCAGAATGTCTTCCTTTTGTGCTCTAAAAGCCATCTTTCTTCCTAAAAATGAGGAAGAAGAACCTCAGAACACCTCAGTACCTCCTCCAGAGCCCTGCACTCCTCAACATCCCTGCTGGAACTGACGCAAATGTACCAAGGTGTGTCCCCTTACTCTTTGACAATCTAGCATGAAATATTTGAGAAGAGTTGTCAGGAGGGCATGCATGGGAGCAAAGACTTAATGGAACATCAATAGAGATGTTCTTTCTCCTGTCCTAGAAATTTTTATTCCCTGTCCCTTTTGCTGTTTTTTTTTCTTCGTTTCTTCATGCTATGGTGAGGGAAAATGATGATAGGGAAGAATCAACACAAAGACCTTGTGAATGTGCTCAGAATATATGCTGTCGTTGTAAGAGAAGCCAAGCAGTCCAGGAGCACAAAATGGCCTCCATTTCACATCTCCAGACACAAGCATCAGACAAGGGGAGAAATGGTGTGTGACAGCCAAAATGCATAACCACTTCATGGCTACATGTGAGGAAGGGATGGTGCCTTTCCACAAACCAGCTTCTGAGAAAATACGAGTTTGTGCCGCCACAGTCATTCTTAACAATGTCCATTGCAAATTGATCTGAAGAAAAAATTTGGGCTCTGAGGCCTTCCTGAACCTGCCCTTCCCAAGGTATATAAACCTGAGCTGGCAGTCTGAAGCACTTCCCCCAGCTCCTTTTGCCACCTCAGGGAGTGTGTAGTCATACTCCGCATCCCAGTGTTGTGGTATATGTGTGGGGTGCATCCCCAAACATATCCCCATGCACTCTTACCAGTGTGGTTACCAGTGCCTGCACCAGAGACAGAGAGTGCCTTGCACAAGGGAAGAAGTGGGGACCTCTGTCCATCCAACCCTTTCTTGGGTCTGGCCCAATTTTTGTGGCCTGGTGGCTGGTTGTTTTGCCTAGCAGGACTCCATCTACTAGTTGTAAACTTAGCAGACAGATAGACTCTTGGGTTTGTTTGTGTCTCCCAAATATCACATTTATACCAGGATTTTATAAGGCCATTTGTGTTTCTGGTGAAAGGTGACAGATCTGAAGCGTAGAGGCACCTTCACTGGTTTGGCAGCCCTTCATATGCTGATATGGAGATTGTGACCGTGCCTTCAGAGTGCACAATACGGAGTTTCTGCACCACTTTGCACCCTGCTTTCCATCCTCCCACCCACCCCAAGACCTCTTTAGGCATGACTCACACGGTGGGGATGTATTCTCCTGGGAAGGCATTGGTGGTGTAACTGATAAGGAGACAGGTTTTCCCCACAGCTCTGGAAGAGAAAGAAAAAATAGCAGGAAGTTATAGTAGGTAGTTCAGGCAGTCTCACTAGGGTGAGGTGGAGATGGGACAGTAAAAGAATCATAGAATTCCAAGCTGGAAAGGACCTCAAGGATCATCCAGTCCAGCCCTTTAAGGTAAAGAAATACAGTTTAAATGAGATAGTCCAGTACACTGTCAAGTTGAGCCTTAAAACTGTCTAAAGTTGAGGAATCCACTGGCCCCATCAGGAGACTCCCATAAGCACAAACGTTCAAAGACCAGACAGCACATAATCATAGGTTAGACAACTGGCAGGAAGAAAGACAGGATGTCACCCAGAAATGTTTGTTGCCTTCAAGCACAAAGGCTTGTTTTTACAGTCTGGTACAGAGATCACTCAGCTAAAATGCATCCACGCTGAGATGGAGGTGAGAGCCTGTTTTCCGGTGCATGCACAGTGCTGTACACTCACAGCCAGGGTAGCTGTATTGATTTGGTGTGGGAGTGCCATGACAAAGCTGCCCAGACAGCTACAGCCCCTGAACACAGGAACTCCTGCCTGCTTCTGCAGGTGCTGTGGCCAGGGGCTGATAGCAACTCTTCTTGGCTTAGCCACAACACCTTCCAGTTTTGCCTATCTGCGGTAAGCTTCAGCATCACCCACAGAGAGAGCTGTAAGCAGTCAGCAAGGTGCCCCTCCCTGAGGGTGATGGAGGCTGCTGGTGGTTCTTTCTGAGCTAGAAGTTGGTTCTTCCTCTCTCCTTAGCCTCCTCTGCACCCATGCTGCAGCAGGGTGGAGAGCAAATAAGCCAGGGTAGCAGCACCATCCAGACTGGGTGAGAACATTCATATGAGGGAGGTGTGAAATGGGCTAGTAAGGCTATCAAGGGGAAGGGAAGGTGTTGTGGGCAAGGTGAAGCCTGTGGTGAGGGAAAGAAGTGGAGAGCAACTGGAATAAGATAAAGCAGTCAGGACAGGCACGGGAAGGAGAATCCTTCTCCTTCTGGGTTGCTGTGTCTCAGGTCTGTGTGGCCTGGGAAAGTCTGCCCATGTTTCAGTTACAGCATGTGTAAAATGAAAGTGGTGAGAGCAACCTGCCTCCTCAGCCTATGAGCACAGCCACAGGATGAGGGAGATGTCTTTCCTGGCGGAAAGCCTGGAGTCCTGCTGCTGGGCATGCTTCAACCATCTCAGCGGTACCTGCAAAATCCCCTGTTGCAGATCTGCAGTCCTGCCTTTTTTCACAGAATCATAGAATCACAGAATCACAGAATCACAGAATCCTGGAATCATAAAATGTGTTGGGCTGGAAGGGACTATTAGAGGTCAACTAGTCCAACCCTCCTGCAACCCAGCCTGCAGTGAGCAGGGACATCTTTAACTCGATCAGGTTTCTCAGAGCCCCATCAAGCCTGACCCTCAATGCAGCCAGGGATGGAGCTGCTATCACCTCTCTGGGCAACCTCTTCCAGTGTTTCACCACCCTCATAGTAAAAACCTTTTTAAACATCTAATCTAAATCTACTGTCCTCTAGTTTAAAACCATTGTCCCTCGTCCTGTCGCTACATGTTCTTGTAAACAGTCCCTCCCCAGCTTTCCTGTAGGCCCCCTTCAGGTACTGGAAGGCCACTATAAGATCTCCCCGGAGCCTCCTCTTCTCCAGGCAGTGAGACACCAGCGTGCTTGTCAAGGGCACACAAGAATTGTGTGCCCTTGACAAGCATTGCTGGTGTCTTTGCCCTGGTTATGAGACATCTGCCTCAGTTGCTGCACTGTCGGGCAGCTGAGGAGGAAATTGAGCTCTTTGGCATGCTCTGACACTTTTTTTTCCTTCTGCCACCTCCTTTTCCTATCTCCTCCTCTCTCAAACCCTTCTCTTTCCCAGATCCCTTGCTACCCTCTTACCATATAGATATTGAGGGAGGACCATGGAGGCTTCCTGAAGCTTTACAGATAGCTCAGGAGATCTATGGAACTGTAGATGGGTAAGTCATGGAAGGTGGGATGGTTCTGAACCAGTGTGGTTGAACAGAGAGGAGCATAAAGGGTCGGTGAAGGGGCAAAGGTTACAACAAAACTGTTGGGAGAAGAGGTGAGGTTAGTGTCACCTGCAGGTTCCTGGGACTGAATTCAGGGAGTGTTAAGAGGTTGCTGATGTGTGATGGAGGGGGCTGTGGAGCCAGAACAGTTATCGGGCAACAAGGGGCTTAGCTGAGTGACAGCAGAAGGTCCTGTGGTTGATAAGGTTGAGCCAGAGAGGGTGACATGGCTTGTATGGCTGGGAGGGAGGTAAAGGGTGGTGAACCAAGAGCTCAGAGCCATGGAGGGATGACTGGACTGCTGTGTTGCAAGATGGTGGAGGGGGAGGTGCAGTGTACAGAGAAGCAAAATGACAGGACAGATGATATTTAAGAGGAGCTGTGGGCACAGGGGTTGAGAGCAGGACATGTTTAGCCACGACATGAGGGGAATGCTGCCTGGAGTCATAGCTACGGAGCTGGTGCAGTGTTTGAGGGAGAAGGTGAAGGGTTAACACGGCAACAGATAAATACCCAGTGGAATTGTTCATCCAGCTCTAGCTTGAAGTCTTCAGGAGACTTTTCACAGAGGTAGTGGTGTTTATCCAGGGTTCTGTCCTTTGTTGTACCTTCTCCCTGTCCCTGTGCTCCAGCCCATGAGAGTATGTCTGACTTGTACTGTTATGTTTGCAGATATCTTCTTCCCCGGGTGAGTTTTGAAGGAGGAAGTGAAGGTGGGGAGCAGGGCGGCTGCAAATGTCTCTTCATCTGCTACCTGATAGCTGCCCCAGATAACAGCCTGGCCAGCTCCTAACTGGGAAATGAATTAACCTACTCTGTGCCAAATGCAGACTCTACTCCCCTCCCTCCCCTGCAACTACTTATCCCACAGGGCACGAAGAGGCCCTGTCCATCCCATCCCTTCCATCCCCAAGCAGTACTGACTGCTTCACTTATTGATGGCTTAGATTGAGCCATTTCCAGGGATCACAGCACATGGGCAGTGACACCATCATACTCTGAAGGCAAGGCTGTGTTACCTCCCACTCCCAAAGTGGTGTATATTTGTGCCTTTCTCAGCGCAAAGAGCTCCTCCTCCTTGTGCCCACAGAACCCTTGCCAAGGCCTCCCACACACCCTGATACAGAGACAATGTGCCGAGAAAAGCCGAATACAGAGATACTGGCAAACATCTCATGAGGACCTAAGTGCCGTGTCTTCTCCCAGTCAGTCCCAGCGAGCAGATGGCTTTCAAGGAGCCATTCACCTGCAGGTGGGCACTCACAACTCTCAGGTTTTAAATCTGACTCCTGCTTACAGGTTGAATCTGGCAGCAACACCACCACCTCCTGTGCATGGGACAGACCTGCTCCACTTTCCAGGCTCCTTCTGCAGATGCCCTTCAAAATGCCCTCTTCTGCACCCTCCCCAAAGGAAGATCTCTTGCTCTGGGGTAGAAAGAACAAATGAGAGAGGGGGAATGCAGGCTGCAGGAGGTCAGAAGCAAAGCTGGGGAAGTTTCACTAAGCAGCCACCTTCTTCCTTGCCCCTTTGTCACCGCCTCTCCCTCCCTGCACCCACAGCACACCAGCGGGGTACCTACCCGTCTCCCACCACGACACACTTGATGGCTTGCATGTCTCCAGACCTGTGGCAGAGGACAGCGCTCCGGGGCAAAAGAAAGATCAGGTCAAGTCAAACAGCGAGGGGAGAGACAGGCAAATTTGAGTATTAGCCCTTGTTTGGCAGTGAGCGGCAGGTTACTGAGAGGGAGGAAGTAGAAGAGGGAACTTTACTTAACCATCACCCTTCAGTCCCTCCTCCCCTCCCACCACAGCAGCAGCTCTGCGGCCGAGGCCGTTAGCTGAAGGCGGGGCACGCATAACTTCATGGTTGGGATGATGACTGCTGTCATTTTTAATTTCCGCACCCCCCTCCCCACATGTCACCTGCTCGCTTCCCCATCCCATCACTGTGAACGTCTGGAGGCACCAAACTGCTTTTACAGGGGAACTGAACATGACTTAGAAGCAAGGTGAGAAAGTGGAGGGGAAGGATTTCCTCCTCCCTCCTTTATCATCCGAACTTTGCAGGAGGTATAAGCAGGGAAGGGAGTCTGAAGTGGGAGTAGTCAGGTGACATGAGGCGATGAAGATTTTTCATGTGTCCCCAGTGGCTCCGAGTGTCAATGGCAAAATGTCACAAGGAACAAGGTTTTCTGTGAAGGCTGAACAAGGAAGTTAAGGAGCCTCTAGAATGCAGCAGCCAACCTCATGGCTGCTCGGTCCTTCCTCTCCTGTAGAACCTGCTGCACTTCCCCACCTGTCCAGATTACTGATACAAAGAAATATTGTGAGAACCTGTGTGTTCATGAGACGGAGAAAATGTGTCAAGGGGTGCAATGAAGTGTTTTCACTCCCCTGCCAATACTCTGAGACTCAAGACTGGTGGATGAGAGCAGTTCCTGCAAAACAGCTTCTTTTCCACCCTCTCCCCTATTTCTGTACAAAAGCAGATAATGGGAGCTGCTGCCAGACGTCTTAAATCTTGTCACAGAATAACAGAATTATAGAATGGTTTGGGTTGGAAGGGACCTTTGAAGATCATCTAGTTCAACTCTCCTGCAGTGAGGAGGGACATCTTTAATTAGATCAGGTTGCTCAGAGACCCGTCCAACCTGACTCTGAATGTTTCCAGGGATGGGGCATCTACCACCTCTCTGGGAAACCTGTTCCAGTGTTTCACCACTCTCACCATAAAAAATCTCTTCCTTATATCTAGTCCAAATCTACCCCCTTTTAGCTTAAAACCTTTACGCGTTGCTGTATCATCGCTGCAGGCCCTACTAATAAGTCTGTCTTCATCTTTCTTATAAGCCTCCTTTATGTATTGAAAGGCCACAACAAAGTCTCCCCAGATCCTTCTCCTCTCCAGGCTGAACAACCCCAGCTCTCTCAGCCTGTCCTCATTGTCCTCAGAAGACAAAAGAATTTTAGAGCTAAGCAGCAAGGAGATGAAGGAAGAAATCACTTTATGAAAGAAGAGATAATGAGCAGAAAGATTCCAGGAGGCTCTAATCCTCCCTTTCCCTCCTCAAAATAAGGGTCTGACTCCTCTTCTTTCCTTCCTTCTCCTGCCATGAAACACTAAGGCTAGAAAAGCGCGTATGTGTGCACATCTGTGTGCTCCAGCCTGAACTGATCAGTGGGTGGAAAGGAGATATGTTTTATAGAGGAAGAGATGTTGGGACACAGAATTAAGTAGCATTTCCAGGCTTTTTCAGGAGGCCAGTTAGACCAGGAACAGTGTTTTTTCATCTGGGATGTTCCTGAAGGAAGGTACTCTGAGGGAAAGTGTTTCTCCAAAGGCTGGTGACCTTTGTGCTGCTGTAGCCACAGGCGGCTGTTGCAACTGTTCTGCTCAGGCGGAGAGCTCTCCCATCCATCACACAGTGCTGACCGCAACCCAGAAACCTTCAACTGTGGAATGTTTCCAAGTCTTAGGGCTATTTCAGAAGCACAAAGCAACTAGCTGTACTAGGTGTTCCCTCTGCAGGTGGTAGGGAAGGGAGAGGAAGGAAACACACTGACTGCCCTGGAATTGGAATACAGGTCAGAGAAGGACAGAAGGGAGAGTGACAAAGGCTGTTACAGCAAGAACAGCAGGAGTTGGAAAGGGCAGGCAGGCACAGAGTAAAGTGGGCCAGGAGACAGGGGCTTAGAAGAGAAGGCAGGTATATCTAGCTCTAGAGAATGGTATTGGTAGATGGGAGAAAACTATTACAGCTCCCTGGCCAACTGGACACACTGAGAGGTCCCAAGGAGAGGCATCTGGGTGACCAGTGAGGGCTCAGGGAACTGGATCTGGCAGAGTCCCTCGGGTTTCAGGGAGCTCTAGGTTTCAAATAACCCTCATGTGCCTGGGGAGAAGCAGGATAGGAAGAACAGAGAGTGAACACCCATGGTGGAAAGGATGAGGACTGAGGGGAAAAGAACTGGCCAGAGCTGGAGAATACATTGAATCTTACTTGGGACAGAGTCATATGAGGATACTGGGGCTAAGGACAGGATTTAGGCTAAGGGAGATGGAAAACTGGCCGGTCGCACAGTGGGGCCTGGTGGCAAGGATGAACAAACACCCCTGAATGCCAGCGTGTGCTTTTGTCCTTGCGCTCTGGCCTACAGGCTTGTGGGACTGGCAGCATGAAAGGGATTGGGCAAGAAGGAAACAAATAAAAACTGGTCAGGGAGGAAGGACTGTTGTTGAGACCCCGTGTTCAGCTGAGCCCCATGTCAAAGACACTGTAATTTTGTATGGCCAACAATGAGCTGTGGAAGTCCTGGCAAGAAGGTGTATCTGCAGCACTCTTCTGGGAAAATTACTTTAGGAAGATAATTGCCGCCTGCTGCTATGGACATTCGGTTCTTGTCAAAGTAAGAAGTTTGTGCTGTGAATCTATAAATATCCCTCCTCCACCAGTGCCTCTGTAGAGGGATAATGGGGGTTTTTAGGGTGTTTCTTTCCTTCATTTTTAAATTATGGGATAATACATTCAAATAACACATACTATAGTAACTCTGAGAACAACTGGCACCTGCTACATTAAAACTTCTTGGCTGTACATGCTGCAGGAAAGGAAAATGCAAGAAATAGGCCCATAACCCCTAACTAAGCACATACAGAATACACATACACCCTTAACTGAGCACATCTGTTGCTGCTTTGATGTCCTCTCACACCACCAAGAGGTGCTCTTGACACAAGTTTCCTTCTGCATGTGCAGTGGGGCTGAGGGAAAGCAGGCACCCATCTGGGGTTTCTTCTTTCCTTTGCTGAGTTTGAGGAAGATGCTAACGGGAAAGAATTGCTCAGTGAGACATTATTTCTCCGAGAGGCTTCCAGGGCCCCGGGCTGGATCATCTCTACGTGACTAATCTGTGCCAGGTTTGCATGGCGCTCATGTGGGACTGTGGGCAAGGAAGGAAAGCATGATATACTTTTTCCCCTCACAAGGATCCAAAGCAGTAAGGACCGCTCCATCTCACCCCCTCTTACTGTGGGGTTCTGCTTCCTCAGAGAGGATGGGAAAAGGGTGAAGGGGCTCCTTCAGAAAGTATCTTTGCACTTCAGAGCCCTGCACAGGAGGGCAGGAGCTGAGCAGCAGGCTTGTCCTTCAGCACAGACAGAGTAGCAGGGGCAATTCTTCCCTGACAGGAGCACAAGGCTTATTTCTTCGCACACATATGTGACATGGCCACAGCAGGTATTCTCATTACCCTGGACCCTCTTAAGTTCCTTTTTATGTGAGCTATTACTCAGGCAATCCTGAGTGCCTGGGAGACCTTTTCTGTGTGTGCTGGGCCTCTACTAGGGAGGAGAATAATTTGCTTCAGCCTGACTGGGCAGCAAATTGTACCTGCTTGCTACATTCCCCTTTTGCATCTTTCCACTTCCCCGTTCACACAGCTTCATACCATCTGCCTCCTGCTTCTCATTCTTACTCTACCGCTTTTCTTCTCCAAAAGTCCTGCCCTTCCCTGTTGCTGCCCCTCTCTCTCCTCACTGCTGTGGTTTCTCTTGTTTGAAAATCCTGCCCTAAATTCAAAGCCCCAGTCATAACTGAAGTGGGATGATGCATCTCAGGCCATGACGTCTGGCAGTCCCTGGCAGAGAGGTTGTGGAGTTGCTTCATACAGGGTTTATATTCTAACATGGAATCATAGAATCATTAAGGTTGTAAAAGAATTCTAAGATCATCAAGTCCACCTGTCAATGCAACATCATCATAACTACTTAACCACATCCCAAAGTGCCACGTCTACACATTTTTTTAACATCTCCAGGGATGGTGACTCCACCACTTCCCCGGGCAACCTGTTTCAATGATTCACCACTCTTCCAGTAAAGAATTTTTTTTCTACTATCTAATCTAAACCTCCTCTGGCACAACTTGAGCCCATTTTCTTTCATCCTATCTCTTGTTACTAGGGAGAAGAGACCAACCCCTGCCTCGCTACAATCTCCCTTCAGGTAGTTGTAGAGAGCAATAAGGTCTCCCCTCAGCCTCCTTTTCTCCAGGCTAAACAACCCCAGTTCCCTCAGCCGCTCCTCACAAGAATTATTCTTGAGACCCTTCACCAGGCTCATTCCTCTTCTCCGGACCTGCTCCAGCACCTTAAAGTCTTTCTTATACTGCCGCACCAGGGGCTTCTCTAGCCTAAATTTACCCTGTCAAGCAAACGCTTAGAAAAAAAATGAAGTTTCCAGTCCAGCGTCGTTGAACACAAACTACCTACAGTTACAGTGTAATTCATAAGCAACTGAACTTGCAAGTGGTATTTACTGAGCCTTATACCTGTCTTACTGTGGAGACCAGTCCTACTGGAGACAAGCCCATTGTGCTACAGAAGTTCCTCTAACTTCAGAGCGTGTCTGCTCTCAGCCTTTCCAGTTTTGGGGCAAAATAGCAGGTTCATTGCCATCCTCCTATCTGGAGTGCTAAAAGAGGCTCACCCCCTTCACCTCTTCTCCACTGTGTACCTGGGTAACCAGATGTTTGGGCAGCAAGTTCTTTGTGATGGCTGATTCGCACTCACACATCCCTCAGCTAAGATGTTGTTCACAGACTCTGAATCACATGGGGTTTTATGGCTTAGCCTTATCTGGTTCTCTGTAATTCTGTAAGTTCCCAGTGATTCTGATATGGATTTCCATTCTTACAGACATTTTGTTCTCAGCTAGTGACAATCCCCATCTCACTGATACCACTCTGTTACTCAATGGTGACAAATACAGACCAATATCTGACTGTGCCTCCCTTCCCATGAGGTGCTTAAATGGTTCAACATTTTTCACCTGCCTGTTGTAGAGGGAAGGTAACACAGACTAGAGATTACACATGTAAATTCTAACTTGAGTGTCAACTGCTCGACTTGACTCCCCTGCCTGCTGGCGCTCTTCATACAGTATCAGATGTTAGATATCCTATGTTTTGTAAAACCAGATTTAACACGTATCTTTACTGATAAGCTGTGGTATCTTCTAGGAAGACTGCACCAGGGAACTGAAAAGAGCTGTGAGCTGTTTAGAGCACTAAGGAAATCTATAGCTACTCTGTTTTACAAGACCAATATTTCCTGAATCATCAAAGAAAAATCTTTTTCTTGACTTCTACCATTCTTTTCCAAAGGCATATAACTTCAATCTTGCTGCACTTCTGAGACTGACAAAAGAATCCCTCTGGTCCTTCATTGAAGTTTATCAGATTCTAAGTGACCCTACTCTAATCTGGATGGCTTGGGGTTTTTTTTACAAAGCCTTTTATAACCACCATCCTTCTTCTTTTAAAATATGCTTCAGTTCCTTGAATTAGTAAAAGCAGTTGAGAATAGACTATTCCAGGTACTCTGCACTAGTAGCTTTACTTACTGCCTGTGTATCTGCATCCTGAGCTCATCCTGCTCTGGCTCTCACAGTCTGTGTTGCTCTTCACACTGGACCATGATTACTTTATTCCAACTGTTATAGGAAAAATCCCATCACTGCCTTCACTCTAGTGCTGTTTTACTTTGCATCAAAATACTGCCTGTGCAGCTCATAATCCCCACAATACCGTGTAAGAAGCGCTACACTCTCCCCTGATGTACTGCAATCCCTATGCCCAACCTGAATGATATTCTGAACCTCCTGAAGGGGCTATTGAATTTGTATAAACCTGTATTTCATCTCTGTGTATAGTTTTGGGAATACAGCTGACATGTTCAGCACAGAGAAATATGTCACTTTTTCACTGTCTTTACTCCCTTGAAAGTGGTAGGAGATATTTATATTTCTTTTTTGTTTACACAATTATTTAAGCTTATTCCAAGTAGCAGAAAAGCGCACCCATGCTGTTGGCTTGATGTTTTCCTTTGTAACCACCAGAACAACAGATATTTTCACAGTCAGTGAGCATCCTGGGAGAAAAAGTGGTTTGGGGCACAGGGAGCAGCCTGGAGTATTGATGTGCAGCAGTCTGCCTTATCTGCCCATGATAAGGTGAGAACTGTTGGACCATCCTGGCTGATCCCACTGCACACACTCACACCTCTCGCCTGTGCAGCCCCAGCCTGAGACAATCGCAGCTGGGAAGGACATGCAGTGGCAGAAGCAATCACTGGTATCAGTACAGGTTTTGTGTTGCTCTCTGCTGGAGTGGCTGAGAGTATTTCTGCAGTCCCCAGAGGCACCCATTTCAGTGTTTGCAGGGTACTTGTGGTTTGACTTGCCCAGAGACACGTGCAGAAGAGCACTGATCAAGCTGCCTATATATGTCACCTACCTTTGAGGCAGGGAAGATCAGGTCTTTCAAGGAAGTGCTTTAGCTTGTCATGTCTGTTTGATGGCAACTGCAATACTGCTGAAACATGTTTACTTTTTTTTTGGTGGAAAACAATGATGGAAGTATTGGAGGTGATATGGTGGATCCAGCCACAGTGCAGGAATTGGGACACTGGGTTGAACTGTGGGGCAGTGAATTCTCCTCTGATGTGGTCCATAGTCTCAAGACAGAAACTGAGGTTACAAAGGGTGGGCTCTTGGCAATTTGTGTTGCAAAGGCAGGCCTCTGATAAATTTTAAGCAAGGACATTGGATGTGATGAAGGTCAAGGCAGACACAAGTGTAATGGTTTGAAATCAGTTTGCATTCCTAAAGCTCACTCTCTTCTCCTTCCTTTCATCCCTCTCAAATAAGCTCCTAGCTGCTGCTTTGAAAATATTTACACCGACCACATAAAGCAAGTGATGAATATTTGCCACTGACTCTTCCTAAAGATCATAGGTTATTCGTGACCGTGCCTACAGCTGCCTTCGTGGAGTCATTTCTGCTACCTGTTGACATCTTTAAGTTTGGGATATCTCCCACTCTTCACTAGGGGTTTATTGGAATGCTTGTCCTCTCCAGTAAAAGCACTGAACCTAAATCATAGCCACAGGTTAGAGCAAGTGCAAGAGGCTGAGAGGAAAGGAGGGCAATCTGTGTCTGTTCTTGAGAGGTTGGATGGCCCTAGAGCAACAGACCTTAGACACAGCATCCAGGCAAGTCCTACCTTTCACATCAAGCCTTTTAAAGGACTGGTTATTATCTCCAGAGAATCTCAGACCAGACTCAGCTAACGGGAATGTAGGAAGTTTATAGCTCTTCCTTTCCTTTCCTATATTCTTAATGATGCTAAGCATACATAGACGATAGCTCTGGCTGCAAAATAACTGAGAGGGTCATCTCTTATTTTGCTACACATGAAATGCTCTTGCAAGCTCTACCTCACTGTCTCATGGAAAGACAGTAGATACAAGTCTAGACCTGTTTTGCTGTCCTGCTCAAGGCTTGCTGTGAGTACAGCAACAGGCCAGGGAGCCAAGATGTAGAGTGCTTCAGAGGTAAGTGTTCATGCGTGGAGAGGAACCATCCCTTTACAGCTTCAGTCCTGGTAGAGGAGGCAAGAACCCTGTTTTGGGCATCACACCCGCTTTGAATTTCACCCTGACCTGTTTATTCAGTCACCAATTCTTCTGATTCTTTCATGGTGCTCTCCTGCAAGCTTCCTTGTCCCCACATTGCCTGTATCAGAGATCTAGCACATAAATCTCATGGCAACAAAATACAACTCAAGTGGAAGTGTATAACCTTCTGGGCCTGTGTGGAGGGCATGGAGGAAAAAGAGCACCTCTCTGCCTCATAGGTGAACAGAGCAGCACAAATGCCTTCAAAACTGTCCTGTTAATGCCAACTCTCCCACCAGGAGGAATACTGCTCAACATGAGAGAAGACTTCATTCCTCCTCAGTTCACTACTTACAAGGCTTCCCAAGAAAAACAGTTTATTAGTGGAAAAAAACTAAGCAAGACTTAGCGAGTACAAGTCACCTAGTGGGCAGTGAGGGCGAGGAAAGAAGAAAAAGACTCCCTTCCCCCCTCCATCAACTCTCCTCCGATTTTGGAGTGTTCATCCCCTCAGTTCTTCTGCAGAATTAACATGGAAAGAATCTTCCCTTTAAAATGAAACCACTTCCTGAATCAGATGGGTTTTCTGAATCAAAACCTTCCTTTTTTTCCCCCTGTCTCTCCTTACAGTGTCTCAGACAAAAGCCCAAAGCCTCTCAGTGCTCATTTTTGTCACCTCAGAGAGAGATCTATGCTCAGAGATTCCCCAAAAAGCTGCTGGGATGGAAGGAGGAAACACATTTGTTGATTTCCATTTCAGAAGTAGCCAAGGAGCCCCTCTTAAAGTCTTAGTGGTATACACACAGTTTCCTTCTCTGATGCAAGCTCATGAGATGCAGTTGGAGGGACGAGAAAGGGCGGAGACATGAGGCAACCCGCCCCCTAATGCTGCTGCCTTCTTGGTCGCTGGCTCCAAGTTGTTTCAGTTCTGTGAAGCACCTGAACAAGCAGAAGGCAAGGAGGGACAACACTTTTGAAAATATATTGTGCTCTTCAGGATGGACTTTTGTCCTGCTGGTAAGCCTTGACTGTCTTTCGCCTTTCCTTTGGTGAGGGCTGTGCGCTCAGTTGGATGGTTGCAAGTTGCAACAGGGCAAGTTTAGGCTGGACATTAGGAAGAAATTCTTCACGGAAAGA